TTCTGGAGAGCACAGGTCTAACGAGAGGGTTCAGGTTAAAGTCCCAATGCGAGTTGGGGACTTTACACGTTTTCCAACATTTGTGAAATTTCTTCGACGTGCAAGTTTCATCAAGATGGTAAGCTATCACAAACTCGAACTTTTTCCGAAATAACGTTTTTTCGAATTTTCATTACACCGAAAACCGAATTATAACGAAACCGTTGTTCTTTCAGGATATGTTGGATGTTTATGGCAAAGACACGATTAGGTTCGGTTAGGTTAAGTTAGGTTTAAAAAAAATATTTTCCTCTCAAAATTACTTTCGAGGTTATGAAAATTCGAGCAAACGTTATTTCTGGAAATTGTCATTTCGAACTACTGATAGGTAACCCATCAAGATGTTCTCCTTCATCGATAACGAGAGACACTTACTGTTTACTAAAGAGTCATAGATACAAAATTCAGACATTATAGTCATAGTTACAGACAAGATTACAACAAGCTTGGCACTTTGGATTGATCTTAATTGAAGCGGCACATACGCTTGACGTGTTCTTACTGTACATGCCGCCGCGTCTCCGTTTACTACCCGATAGATAGGGGGGATTAGGGACCCCCCCCCTGTCGTTTGGTAATACGTGGAAAATTGCTCACCGAACAGCAGGGTCTGCTTCGGCAAGGGGAGGTGAGCGTCCCGACGCTTCCGCCACCAAAACGGAAATTTGGTAGTTGAATTTAAATTCAACCGCTTGGCGATGGCAGTGGACGGGAAGTGAACGTACCAATAGCTTTAGCAATTATTAAGACAATAGGGAGAGTGTTGTACATGCGCCTGCCGTCGCTCACCCTATGCCTTTTGAGCACCGGGTAAAGTCTGTGTAAAAGGGCTGATCTAGGGTCCGGACCTGACTGAATAAGGTTCCTGTGAAGGCTTGCTTGCATAGGTAATAGTGCCCCGTTATAACCAAAAGGGTGATTTTTTGCACTATAAGCAAAACTTAAATAGAGAGATATGGGACTGGATATCATATGGGTTCCAAACGTCGTTCTCACTTATTCAAAGTTATATTTTTAATCGTATATCTATTCTGAGATTCCAATAATTGACCTTTGTGAAAAGAATTGCTTTGAAAGCAATGCGAAAGAATTCAAATTAAAAGTGTAATTGGATATTATTTCTGAGAACCACGCGAGTCAGAGGAAAAAGCTACAGCTTGGTAATAACATGAAAGAACTAATTGAAAAGCATCCCACAATAGGATGATAAGTTAAAAATGTACCGGTAACCGTTTGAAAAGCCGTAAAAAGGAATAATTTATTACCGTTATAATACGTTACTGACTGGGTCAAGAAAATGAAGTCGATCGGTGCTTTTGTGTGCAATTTGGTAACATTAGAAATCCAATTAATGTTCCTATAGATACTGTATTGTAGCTGGCTTTTTAACGGCATTTATACATGGATATATATAATATTCTATACAGTAGCCGTAGAGGTCCTTGTGAAAGAGTTCATCCAGTGACGTATTGCTACCTTACTTATTTCTGCCGTCAAGCGGTAATATCAACATTACTAGGGTAAGGATGCTGGGGAAATTACAGGCACATGGGAGTTGTCAACTTTGTCTCGTGGTGACGGGCGCAGTGGTAGTGCCCCTTAGATCTTTACGATTTAAATATAACTTGTAAACACTGTATAGTGGAAACCGTTGAACCGATAAGGTCATAAAAAATCATGAACCCTGTACACCTCTCACTGCTGGCCCAATGCGGGTTGGAGAAACGTTTTGCAGAAGTGGACGCTCCTTCGAAAAACACATTTTATCACGATATTTTCCTTTACAGTTGGAGATATATTGCTACTAAGGACTTACAAATAATACGTAACTAAGATATCCATGTCATAGATGTATATCGCAAAAGGCCATTGACTTACAAATAAATGGACGACGGGTCTAATACAAAGACCACGAAAAAAATGTCCCAAGTCAACCTATTCGAAATTTAAATTGTAATGTCACCGCAGTATCGCGCTGTCAGTCGAACAAATGAAGACTAAAGCGGAGTGTGGCGCTCTGTATACGATTTTAGCGCCTTACAAGTGCGGACACTTTTTAGCGCGGACCCGACGTCCATATAATTGTAAGTCAATGCAAAAGGCATTCTAACTGTCGACCTGTCGATTAAGAGGCAACCGTTCTTCCACGGTCCTTCATATGTCATGAAAGACAAGCAATATTTGTGATGTGATGCACTGAACAGCTGCAAGTTTAAACACGAAAAATTCACTCTCCTAGAACGCTGGAAAACCTACAGAAGTATACCCACAAATAAAACATTCATTCAGAATGAGTAAATTTGAATCTTATAGAAAACATTCAAAGGTCGATATACCATTGAACCGCTGAATGTTCAAATAGACACGACTCACTCTTGCTCTAGAATGCTGAAAAAACTACGGAAGTATAAGAATGAGTTAATTTTAATCTTAAAGAATACAATCCAAGGTCGATATTGCATTGAACAGCTAAAGATTACGCACACAATTAATGATACTACATGAGTGAATTGGGTTAACATATTTCAAATTTCTATAAGCTTAATTCTTTATTTTAGTACAAATTACTGAATAATGAAAGGTACTCTCAGAGATTTAACATTTGTAGTCGTGAAGACAATGATTTCGACTTTAATCGAACTGGGGTTCCAGCATGTCTGGCGTATAAATAAAAATGTAATTTATGTTATGAAGAACGCTAAGTTTTCTTAAAAATAAATTAGCAGTTCCTAACCGTCGTTTTTCCAAAATCACAAAGTCATTTAAGATGAGATTCTACCACTGTTCCAAAAAGATCTTTTTGATGATGATGAAGTCAGCGTTCCTGCCGCTCGACGGCAGGATCGCTGACTTCATTTCAGATTTTTTTTTTTAAATGTACGTACAGTATACGTGTTCTATTTAGCTCTGTTGACATAAAAAAATCATTGGTATATGTAAAGTACCTATTTATTACAGAGGTTTCCTTGTAAAATATCGAGGTAAGTTTGTTTTTTTTTCTATCGTGAATAATTTTCGGAATCGTTTTTTCACAACGTATATTAATCAGTGCATACCCTCAATTTTACTATATTTTTCAAAGTATTGATTCAATAATTTTACTGTTAGGCGGAACCAACCAAAGCCATTTGAGGTGGGAGGTTCCATTTAAGGGAAAATGTATACAGCATGAGTGTATATCATAAACATAATATAACCTATGATAAAATATCATTTTAACCCAAAACGTAAACTACTCGGCAAAGTGTTTACGTAAGTTGAAATTCACAAATATAGCGGTTAATTTACGAATAAGAAAACCCCAGGTGATCGCGTGCCATTGCGAAAACTACCAGGCACTTAGTTAATTAACAAGAACTTAACTGAACGCTATGTGGAAGGCGACAGCTCGCCCTTTATAGATGTTAAACATGGAATTAATTCTGTTTCAGTGAAATGTTAACAAAGATGTTTGTTATTAGACTCTTATTGGGATATATTAGGCTTTTATGGTCTAACTCGTAGGTTCTTAAACTTTCCGCCTTACCGCTGACTAAGCGCCCAGTTACACGAAGTTTTCGCGCGACCGCCAGTTACTACGCCTTCGTTTGCAGTAATGGCGAATCTGAATTGTATTTACTAGGCAACAACATTTAAATTCCTCTGAATAATAAAGCCAACGTAGACCAACTTCAAGCCAGGCTTGCTAAAGTGTCCGGGACGCTTATTTAAGTTACAACGTAAAAGCTAAATAAATAGAGCGTATTTTGCCATGTCAGTTAATCGCACGCGGTCGCTATGCGGCAGCAACGCGGACTCCGCATTAACACAAAAAAATCACAAGGAATAAAAATGATATATACATATATAGCGTAGTTTATATAATTCAGTTCTATGTTCTAACTGGACGATTATTCAGCACAAAAAAATTCGTAAGGTCCGCTAGTTCGTTCCGTGGCTTAGTTGGCATAGTGTCTGGCACGGTTTGCTGAATGACGTTGGTTCGAATCCAGTCGGATCGAAGAAGTTTTTTCTAAGTGTTCGACCTTTGTATTGATAATTATAACAAACTAGTGGAGGAATTTCACAAAAATAATTGATTGTCATGATGGTCAAACAACGTGACATTAAATGACTTAAAAAATGTACCTATTGTGTTATGTACTTACCTTATCTGAATACTCAGCAACGTCCCTCATGGACCTGGGATATCCGGAGACCAGGTAAGTCTTGGCGGTGGGCGCCATCTTCATTTCCAGCATCAAGACCTCTGTCACAGTCTTGCTCGACAACGTTCCAAAGTCTTGCATGTCTATCGTTAAAAAAGCATCAGTCAATTTAATAAATGATGTTTATTTAAGAAACCAAAACATACGGAACACATTTACATTATTGAACACTAGGTACTTAGGCATAATGGACAAAGCGTGTGGTCCTTTGGTATGCCTGACAGTAATTTAGGCTGCTGCAGACTGGCTGCGAAAAGAAGGAGAATCCGAGACCTCGACTGCATGAAGCCGTTATCAAGTTCATCCAGTCGTGGTCTCGGCTGCATGAAGTTGATTACGATTTCCCGCATTAACTGCAAACATGCGGTCAATCTGTTAGCAGCCTGGTTGTCTTTTGTTGCAGAGTCAAAACATAATACTCGTATACTTGAATGTACCCGCAGAATATAACATTCTTTTTAGAAATTGAAGTACCTTCTCAATTGTACAAGAAACACAAGTAAACTCAAGATCTGACATTTTCCGCTAT